TGTCAGGAGACATCATGGGAATGTCGTCCAATTTATAACAAACAAATACAACGAACGTGTTCCAAAAATAAGGCAATTCAGCTAAAAATCTACTTTTCGACATCATTTAAGGTGTACAATCGTATTTATTATCACTGGAAACAAATAACAGTCTGTTACTAATTATTAGATTGCGATTGTGATAATGTGATACTAGGGGGAAAAACAGATGTGAGTGTATATCTAGAAACAATGATGATAGTAATAAAAAGAAAATTCAACGTCTGAATTAGTTCTAGGTATGAAGTACCGTAGTTAAAATCCAAGCTTGACAGATGAAAATAAATAAACAGTGATCATAAAGTGATAACAGTGGACTAATCATCAATGATGAGATCGATGTATCATGACTTACTTCTCGTCGCTGAGATTGGACTAAATTGAGTGGCCACTTGGTATATAAGCTCTTATGTAGAAGACATCTCAATGTGACTGGCAATTTCATTTTGATATTGAGTACAGATAATAGCTACCAGCGGGATTCAGTTTCCGTTTTGTCCTATTCGCGACTTACCAGTTGACTAGGAGGGATGCCATCTTACTTATTCTGTTGTATCTGTGCCATATTGACAAGAGATCCCACCCACAGATTTCGGTAATCAATTAAACAGCAACCGTGAAGCCCAATATCTATATCTTATGTGTTGATTCCCTGCTAGTTGGGCCATCTTTACTTTTTTTCCACACCTATTTCAACTAATATTGCGAGGAAGGGAAGACAGTGACTGTGTATGCAATACAAATGGTTTACAAAATCATCAAATGACTTGCCCCTTCTACCTAAAACTACGACTGACATGACAGCTGAGTGGAGGCAACGTTAGTTAAGTATAAGAAGCGTTCTCATGTCCACCTTGAATGGCAATTTGATTACCATACAACAGAACAGAGCGAACTACTGCACAGTACACTCGACTCTTAGAGAGGAATCCTAAATCGGCAGCTCCAAAGAGAAAGTCAGTCAGTCACATTTTACTATTAGGAGGCGCCAACACAGTCCAGCCCTGCAGAGATTTGAGTTTGGGTGGTGGAACTTTTAATATGAACCAACTGGCTTCAAGAAGTTGCAGGCAACTCGTAAAAACAGTACGTCTGAGTGAAAGGCATCTTCGAAGGTGTGCGTGGCCGTATTCATCCTTCACGAATGTGCAGCAAACAAACGTTGAGATCTGAATGATAGTAATTGTCAAGTCTACTGCCTATGTTTAACACAGTGAACAGCCAACTGAAATCTGCCTACCGTAAACCCAAAATACTTGCCAACACTTGTATCTTGCTCAATTCAATTAGTTTAACGACGATACTCAGTCCAAACACTGAACAATGATCGATAACTGTTTGGGATTTTATGACCCAAAGCATCCTTTTCGAATCTCAACCCTGAGTGCCAAAAGACAGATTAAAGAATAGTAAATTGTCGGAAAAGATGACGGGAACTGATGAATTTATATTTAGATCAATATCTACCGGGTTAGAAAAGGTCGGCTCCAAAAATAACACACTCCACCATACCCCACGGTCTGCCGGGCCGGCAGTGTTGGTTCATTTGTCATTTCTTTTCGATAATCCGGCGCCAAAACAACAAAAGTTCAAAATAATCATACTCAAAAGGCTACATGTGACAGGCCTCAAGTAGACATCCAACAGGTTCTGTGGTCACACAAATCTCTTTAAGGTACCTTAAGAAGAAATAGTCTTCTACAGTGTGGGCAGCCGGGAAGCGTCAACTGACCTCACAACTCTATCAGCACTCAAGTTTCTTCGCACCGCTATCCACCTCCCTCATCATTACCTCCTAATATTTTTTCACATCTCTCAACTAACGATACTACATCATCTTCAATTTCTCCTGGTTCTGCAGCCTTCGACAACGATCTGGATTCACAAGTCAGCATCCCTGGTCTCCTTAAGCTACGCTCCAAACTACATATCGCGGCCTTCAATGTCAACATCCTCCATCAAGTTGGTCAAAAGGCTTCATTGGCCATGACTCTAGCAACTCGGGCCCTGGATGTGCTGTTTGTGAGACTCGCATACAGGACCCAACTACAGTTATTCACCTAACCTCTCCCGGTCAATCTTGTGAATGTGCAAAATCCACCCTTTGAGTTTCTGGAGATTCGATGGTTAGCTTCGGGGTCTTGCAGGTGTAGGGATAGCATTAAGCACCAGGGCAGAAAACTCACTGCCAGACTGGATCTCAGTTGATGGTCGCCTCTGCGCTGTCCGGCACGGTGAGAACTAAAAGAAATAGTGAAACTCGCCGTTTTCTCTTTGTAATCTCTGCACACGCACCCACTGACTGCAGCTCGGATGAAGTGAAGGACGAGTTCTACCGTAAACTGTCTAACCTCCTCTCGAAAGCCAAAAGTTCAGACGTGGTGGTTGTTGCAGGTGACCTCAACGCACAGGTGGGTAGACTGAGTGAGGCAGAAAGGCACCTAGGTGGCACTTTCGGAATCCCAGCTGAACGTACAGATAACGATGATCGCCTATTACAACTATGCTCAGATAACCGCCTATTTTTAGCCAGCACAAATTTCAGACATAAAGAAAGGCACTGTCTGACCTGGCGTCCACCGAGCTCGACTCAGCGATGGACACAAATAGACCACATTGCTATTAGCCATCGCTGGAGAGGATCGGTGGAAGACTGCTTCTCCTTCTGGAGTACGTGTTTGAATAGCGACCACGCGTTGGTCCGAGTACGCATATGCCTTCGTCCCAGTGGATGTAGGGAAAATTTGGCAACAACCATAACGAGTGCAGCTAGAAAACGGAAATACCAAAGCTATGTTCAATGAGAAGTTGGCTAGGCAGTTATCGGAACAGAATGCTATCACTCACCCAGAAGCTTGGTGCCATATCCAGTCTGCTATAAAAGCAGTGCTGAAGACCGTAGCCAACTCCGAAAGAATGGCTAAAAAGAGTCAGTGAATATCAGCAGCTTTTTCCGAACTAATGGATGCACGTGAACGCATCCCTGCAGGCTCTGAGTACAATGAAGAGCGAGCGCAACGACAACGAAGTGGTGGGCACGAGAGCTGAAGAGATGGAAAAAGTGGCGCCCATTGCTTTTAGTAGACAGTTATTTAGACATATTAAGAAAACTGGAGGTGAAAGGTCGACAACGGTTAGTGAGACCATAGCGAAAAAGGACGGATATACGATTCACTCGCAGAGGGGACGTCTCGAACGATGGGCGGAACACGAGGAATAGTCCAACTGACCTCCAGTCACCATTGCGTTACCCGTTATCCAGTCGAACCCTGAATGGAACATTGAGATAGGCCGCCCCAACACTTGCATAAGTCGATAAAGCAGTAGGTAACTTGGAACGAGGAAGGGCAACAGGACCAGACCGACTAACTCCTAAGGTATACAAGAATGTTGGTAGAGTGCTCTTAGTCAGGTTAACGGAAATTTCAACGAGTATATGAGAATCGAATACGATCCCCTCCGACTGGTCTAAGTCACTGATTATCCCAGTCTTCAAGAAAGGCGAGAAGCCCTCTTGTGATAACCACAGAGGAATCAGCCTGATGAACATAGTGTTCAAGGTCCTAGGTTCTATAGTTCTCGGACGCTTGAGTGGAGCTCGGGAACAGCAAGCCCGAGAAAACCAGGCAGGCAGACTTTAGACCCGGCCACGGGTGTATTGACCAAATATTCACACTGCGCCAGGCTCTGGAACACAGGCACGCTTACCGAAGCCCGATAATAGATGTATTTGATCAGTTCCATGTATTATTTAACTTGTCTTAGCCTTTTCAGAGAACACTGGTTTCATTCTGACCAACTTGTCTAGTCCTATTACACAATACTTAATTGATTTACCACTTCCATCAATTTTTTCACCCCCTTCTACTTGCTACGAACCATTCCACATATTACATAATCCACTTTGTTATCATCCACACTCCAGTTGTTATCACAATCAAAAATGCTTATGTCATCATCCGCTCTATTATTCTCATTATCATCATATAGTGTAGTTTTCCTCACGGGATACAATTTCGCAATATATATATATATATATATATATACGATTGTACAGCTTAAAAATAAATTCATGGAAAAGTCTCTTCGCTGGATATCTGGTTTAATAGCCGTATTTCTCGACCTGAAGGCAGCATTCGACTCCGTTGACCCAGAAGTCTTATGGCAATATCTCTCACTGAAAGGTGTGCCGAGTAAGTACATCACATTATTGAAGGCTCTCTACTCGAACACTTGTGGACGTGTTAGAGCCTATGGTGAGATGTGTTCATCGAGTGGTGTCCATCAAGGGTGCCCACTCTCCATTCTTATTCAATTTTATCCTAGATATTCTTATGGAGGTGTCCCTTTCGTCACCTGACTACACAGAGGTTAGCCTAATCGCAGGAGAATTTTCGTTAGATGTAGAATATGCAGATGACATAGTCCTGTTGGGTGAAGACGCAGTCTTATGAAAACTTTGAGTGCCAACTTGAAAATGTTTGGGATGCGGTTCTCATCACCAAAATGCAAATTGTTGCTCCAGGATTGGCCTTCAACAGTGCCCCAATGCGGCTAACAATACAGAATGTAGTGACTGAGTGTATCGACCACTTCACTTACCTGGGAAGTAGGATCAACCCCGGTGGGCTAGTTGCCGATGAAATTTCTGCACGGATACAAAAGGCTCGATTGGCTTTTGCCAATTTGCGCCACCTATGGCGCCGCCGTGATATTCGTTTGTCTATTGAGGGTCGCGTGTACTTCACAGCAGTCCGCTCTATTCTACTATATGGCTGTGAAACATGGCCATTGAAAGTGGAGGATACAAAAAGGCTTCAGGTGTTTGACCACCGTTGCCTTCGTCGTATAGGACGTATTCCGTGGTGTCACCACATGAGTGAGTAATGCAGAAATTAGGTGTAGAGTTTTAGGGAGAAGAGGTAAGTCAGTTGACGAGGTTGTGAACCTTCATCGACTGAGATGGTTGGGACACGTACTACGTGTGCCTAGTCACCGATTGCCTCGTCACACAATGTTGGCTGAGGTGGGTCCAGGCTGGAGAAAGGCCCGAGGTGGCCAGACTAAAACATGGCACCAATGTATGAAGTCTCTGACTGTTGGTTTGAGTCATGTGGGGTGATGTAGACTAGCCGGTTGGGGTCCACGGGACAAGAGGCATCAGAGGTTGGAGACTAGGTGGTATAGCTCAGAATAGAAGTCAGTGGTGCAGATGTATACAAATATTATCCTCATCTGAACATTATGTCGAACTTCATTTTCTCATGCTTCCTTTCTCTTTCCGTACTTTATATTTCTTCAGACTGAGTTTTCTTATCTTCATCTAGCACCACCCCACTGCGTTTGTACTTTGTGAACTGGTATGAGGTGTGGCAACTCGGACCGTTACGCAGTAATGCCTGGTCTTATGTTGATGATGACTTTATGTGCTTGGAAGACAAAATTCTTAACTTATTTAGGGTATTATATTACATTCTATGCAAAACATCACGCCAAAATAAATGTAATCAAGCTGTTACACAAGGACAGACCAACTTACTTATAAAAGGTGAGTATCATATAAAAATTAGCTTTCTATTTAGTGACAGTTTATAGTCAGCACGTATTTTACACATCAAATTGACATTCACTTAAGAGTAATGCAGTAGCGTTAGGCGTGCATTTAGGTCCGTGCGTAATGTTATTAAAGGAATTTGTTTGTTGTTTTTTATGTCACGGATTTCTTCTTTACCTCATTAACCAGAAGTTCTTCAGTAACCACAGCGACATCAGATACATGCACGTCAGCCTTGAGCCCTTCAAGTCTTTTTTTCAATGCCTCCTTCGATGAAGAGTATAACATTCTCCGTCTGACCGGTAGACTGTCGGGTACACTAAAATGATTATCAAGAAAGTTCGACAATTGCATACCATGAAAGAAATATCAGATTTGACCCTTTAGTGCCTTCACATTCCTGGTCGATAACAGCATAGCATCCCTTTCCTTCGAGTCGCAAAATATCTTCACGAAATTCTTGAAACGTAGCATCTATGTAATTATGTTATACGTATGTCAAAAAACACCTCTTTTGGCAGTCTTCTCCACGACGATCTCTTGTTGATCGGAAATAACGTACAGAATGTAACGGTAAGTATTGCCCATTTTCAAGCTTTTGTACAAATTTTCACATTCTACTGTGGGTTTAATACCTGATGACTACAGGACATTAGAGAGTTAACCAGTGAACATACCATCTTCCTGGTGTGTGCAAGACTTTATTGCCGCGTTAAGGGCACAAATTCAAATACTTCGCCAGTGTTAAATTGGACTGAGTCTTAAACTTCTTGTTGTTGGGATTACCTTTTGTATCTTTGATCTATGTTCTTGAAAAAATCTCTTTAGATGCATTGGTTATAGTTCTTACTTTGGTCTGAACTGAAAGTACAAAATATTTCCAGTGACTGTCCTCAAGGTGGTATTAATCACTCCCTAGCGTCAGCTGAGTAAACAATGAAAGACTGGAAGCATCACCAAGCTGTTTCTTCCTGGTGTCAGACTCCTTAGTAGCACTGTCCAATGAATCCGTATAGGCCGGAGCCTAGGACCATCAAACCTCGTAACAAGTACTTTTTCAATTTATTTTTCAGCTTGAAGATGATGAAAACTCACAAATCGTCACTTAAAAATACTCATTACTGACTTATTTTGGGAAGCAACGATCCCCATGGTTTTCTTAGTCGCATGTGAAAATGAATGTTCGCCGATGGTTCTCAATGATTTCCCGTCCTATCGCGAGTTGGCAAAAGTACGTAAATGCAGTTTAGTGGATTCCAGCCAAGCATCTAAATGTTTACGTGCTTACTTGAAAAATCGTGATCTCTAGCCGCATCTAAAGGGTGATTATGAGAGTACATGAACGAAGAGTCTCTCACTAGGGCAAGCCACCTTCCAGTTTTTCCAGGTTCTCATTGGTTCTCGGCCGGTTTCATTCCCCAGTGTACTCTATCCTGAAGTAAAGATGTTTGTTAGTTGCTCAGCCCTCATGACGTTGCTGCTATTTGCAGCCTCTGAGAGGATAGGAGGCATACAGAATGAGGGTCATCCAAACCACGGGAGTTTAAGTGGGCTAGCAACCTACTTTTGAAAGCATCAAAAGAAAGAGCCTCGATGACATCACTCAAGGAAACTCACAGCTTACACACCTAAACTAAAACCGAACTTTTAGGGATCTTCGTCCATGCACACTCATGCTTTGCTCCGAAATGATGATTTTTAAAGTGCTTTTTGGATAAAAGCATGTAAAGGATTTGTTTGGACAACAGGGGTTATAGTCAGTATTATGTACATTATCAAACCCATATGATCCACCTTTATTTTACCGATGCATTCTGAGAGCATTTTGGTGTTCCTGCTAAGGTTTGTACTACGGTTCAGCCGCTTTATGTAGCTGTTCTCATAAACCGTTCCACGACAGTAATGAATTGCCGCAAGCAAGCGAACATAACAAGTGAGTCACTCCCCAGGTACCGGCAAATAGGTAGCTTCTAGGCTGTCGCAAGTAGACCAGGCCCAAAACTAATCCCACTAAAGTGCCATGAAGAAACTAAAAGACTTCACAAGTACTGTCTACCGCAAGGTGACTATATTTATGAACTCCGTTATTGTTGCTTAGGCTGGTCCAAAGATCCTTCTTGGTGCTTCACTGGAAGATATTTATTCCATCCAGGGAGTTGGGAATACAGTCACTCCGGTACGTTCGTGATCGTTATCCTTCACTTAACCTTATCATGCGGGGACACTATTCCACTTACCTGACTACGGATTCTTGACAGCTGCTCAAAGAGGGCGAAATCACTGGCTGCCTTATTTTCCTCCAAATTTCGACATTGTTCCTGAACATACAGGCACATATAATGACAACAAAGAGCTTAGAACAGCGGGTAACTCACCTTTGTAGTCGACGAGCTGAAGTGGAACAAGAAGTGAACCTTGAAGTAATCTCAGGAAGCGTCAGCGACCAATTATGCAATGCGGCGCCTTCTCTAACCCACTGTAACCTATTGTTGGGTCAGATAGTCCTTCTCTGTTCACCCAAAGACTGAAGTTCCTTACATGGTGCACCACGACCAGCCCTGTTGAAAGCCTAGGTATGTTAAGCAACCTATTAGGAACCGCATTTCTCTGCTTGACAGGAAGTTTGACTGTGCCAGGTGCCCAACAAGTTCACGTTGCCTAACGTGTCAGTTGAAAAACTCATACCTAGTGTCGGCCAGGCTTGACCTCCTCAATGAATAACCACCAAGCAACTTACCCTTTCCATGGTATCCACTACTATAAAAGTCGCAAACATGGTTGAAGGCTATAAGCTGATTACCACTCATAAGTACCCGAATGGTTTCTGTTAGTTTAAAGTCGAAACGCAACCAACCTTCTAAGAGTTAATGGAGAGGTTTCGTCAGTATATCATAGGAGTAACAGGCGCAAGCCCTTTGCACTATCATTGGAAAGCTACCAAGACTATGGCTTTTGTTAGGATTCAGGCCTATTAAAGCCGCTTTGAATTCAAATGACTCAAATTATTTGTAACTTAACCCCTGAATAATTCATATATGTTGCCAGTGCGATCTTTTCCCTTCCATTGCGTTACGCGAGAACCTCTAAGCTGGTGAGTAAGCTATCTGGGATTTTGTGTGGTGAATCCTGGCGGATTACGGTAACCCATACGTTTTGTATTCCACACCTACTACTGATAACCCTGAAGTTATTTCTAGTTGATCCCAAAATGACAGATTGCGACACATGAACCAGAGAGTTAGGCTTTATCCAGAGGCAGTGAAGTTTCTGGCGTCTGCAAGCAATGACTAAGGGTACTTTCCACTAACTTTTGGGGAATCAATTCCTTCAGTGGTCCCCACCTTATGGTCTGGATCAGATCAGTGGCTAAAACACGACCGGGTAAAACCTTCTAAATCTTGAGTGACTTTCAAAATTGATTTGCCTACGACTGTTAGCCACCCGCTGCCAAACAACATGCCATATAGACACCAAGCTATTGCAGGAAATTAGTTTACGGTAATAACTTCAAAATGAAAATCGAAAATCAGGTTGAATACTACAACGCCGCGATTGTTTTGGGAATAAGTGAATACGGGTGGCCTGACAAACCGTCGGACTCCCCGAATTTACAGATGCTGTTCTCCGGATCCCTTCACAATTATCCAGCAACTGCAGTGGGCATTCCATCTAAAAACTCAAACATAATCACCACCAACAGCCCAGGCAAACAACCAGAATACTAACTGTCGACACAACACAGATGAAACCAATGAAAGATAGTGAAGGAAACTTGGTTGCCAAAGAGGAGAAACGAAGGAAACGATGGTCTGACCACTTCAAAAAACTCTTCAATCAACCAGCACCAGCACCTGCAACCCGTCCAGAAATACCACCAACAGCCCAGTCACACAACCATCAGTGAACACAAGCCCTCCAACAAAAGTAGAAGTGAAGTCCTGAAGGACATAAAGTTGCTGACATCTAGGAAAGCAACAGGACCAGGTGGGATTCCTTCAGAAGCACTGAAAACAGACGCAGAGACAACAGCGGACATGCTGACACCACACCACTATTACAGAAGGTTTGGAAGGAAGGGAGGGAGGGAGGAAAGTTACCTGCCTACTGATTGGAAGAAGGGCTACCTTATCAGCGGACTCCCAAAGAAGGGCGCACTAAGTGTTTGCAAGAACTGGCGCAGAATCATGCTCCTGTCCCTGTCCACTCCGAGCAAAATATTAGGCCGTATCATCCTGGAGAGACTAAAAAATGCACTGGATTCAAATTTATGACTGGAACAGGTTTGCTGGCTTCAGGATGAAAAAATCATGTGTGGATCAAATTGCAACGCTACGCCACGCATCATCGTAGAACAGAGTATGGAATGGCAGTCAACTCTTTACCTTACCTCAACTTCATCGACTTTGAAAAGGCCTTCGATAGCGTCGACTGAGAAGTAATTTGGCAGGCAGCTGCTTCAACACCACGCTTTCAGTGCCACAATCCTTTATCAACCTCATTCAACACCTATATGCTATGCTATATGATGAGGCTACATGCCAAGTGATTCACAATGGGAAGATCAGTGGCGTCTTTGAAGTGAAGTAAAGACGGGAGTAGGACAAGGTTGGCGCCTACTATCACCGATCGTCTTCCTGATTGTGGTCGATGGGACCGGACCGGACCGGACCGGACCGGACCGGACTGGACTGAATCGTGCATCAGACAACTGCGAGGATCGAGAAGAGGGTCATACGCTGTCTGGACCGATAAAAAGAGCCTAGATGACTTGAATTTCGCCGCCGCCGCCGATGATGATGATGATGATGATGATGATTTATGTCTAATGTCACACAAGCTCGAAGATCTACAGGCGAAAACCAACAAGTTGGCAGGAGAGGCACCTCAAGAGATTAGCTTGCATCTTCAGATGCTTGACGTAAAGTTTGTTAGCATTTGCTACAAATATTATTTACACATTAATTCTCGTTGTTTGCGGCTGATGTAACGCCAGTGAAATAAAATACTCTAATATTTTTCTGCAAATGCTGTTCTTGTTAAGTTGTTCAATCTCATCAGGAGGATTAATGGTGTGAAATATCATCAGTAGTGCTGATAAGCTGTTAAACAACTGGAAAAAAGGAATAAATGCTAAAAGAAACTTGGATGAAGATAGGACACCAATGCAAGAGATTTTGAGCCACGTTTTATTAGAGATTTGAAACCATCAGCGAATCATGTCAATTCTGGGCGTAAGTTCTTCCGATAAGTTCAACCTCATACTAGCCTGGACACTTTCATCAAACCCTCAACTATAAACTTTGTGAATTGATAACTTCGTCTGACGATCTGACCATCCATAATAACCTTTTTCAAGCTGAAACCCATTCCAGTTCACCTAGCGCGTCAGAATAAAGGACGACACGGTATGTGTAACAGAAACAGTCACAGCCTCGATTGCAATAGGAATGGTGAGTTTTCTGTTCTCTATCAGTCCCAATAGGCTCTTCCCGACTAGCATTAAATTGTGCGAGTGATACTCGTCGACAAACGATTAAAATATAGTAAGTTCTATAAAATTAACTTCTAACTATCGGAGATAAGATGAATATTGGTTATCGATTCGTGTTCTACGACAAACGAAAGGTGAATAATGAGCTAAATTGAGAAAATACTGAATGGCTATTCTATTGTCTGCTTTCAGGGGAAGAGATATATACGCTACTGTGATTGATTCGCTATACGAGTATTTTTTACTAGGTAATTTCAGCCAATCACTTGGAGGAAAAAGTCTGCTTGACTTCATCGATTTGAAATGCTTATGTATTCAGTAGCTGTTAGAGCAGAGATGTATTTACTGTAGTAATTAAATCACTGGCATTGACCAAATCAAGTCTAGACTGGGCAATAATAAGTGTATTTGTCAGGAACATGCAAACAAACATCTGATTGGAACTACATAAAATAATACAAACCCTCCTAATAATAATGACGATATAAGCGTACACGATATTGTCAAACATAAATAATTTCGATTGTGCAAGTTGCAGTCACCTTATT